GTTAAAATCCCTGACAGTCACAATTACTTTCATTTGATTTTTTTGCTGGCCTAATGTTATTATGACAACTAATGGAAAAGATGCAGCATCTGTAGTTTTTGAAAGAGAATTGCAAATTCCATTAAAGCGACGTGAAGATATTTGTTATAGGCCTAATATTTCCTAAAATAGGTTGTGTAGGGTTTGGTGTGGGTGTCACTGCGAAATCACCCATAATTGACCTATAGATATCTAATATTGAGAACGTTGCCCCCCCCCCCCCCCCCCCATCTCCTCTACACACACAGAAGCTCTTTCCCATCCGTTTTTTGCAAGTGCCAGAGTGCTACACATTTTGAAACTCAATCACGTTCAAACTACATCAACTGGGAATGATATTGTTTTGACAGATCATCGTCCCCCATTTTATATTTGTATATCCTCATTTTGTACTTTAAAATGAGAATAGATTGTCTTATTTTGTTATAAGAGTATAAAAAACCAAGAGTCGGATACTACCAAGCGGTGATATTACACTGGATAATAAAAAAAGATCTTTGAATCAACGCATTCTGAATAGACCTTTAATTCCAATTAATTTCAGGATCGCGATGAGCTTATAAGTGAAGACTGGCACATCTCAATGTATCAATATGTATGACAGGAGTTAAGAAAAACTGCTGATAATGTGACAGTTGACATAAACCATACAGGGTTGACGGTTTTATTAGTTTGACAGGTTGAGCTCATTGAGGTGGTGTTACTGATTATTCCTTTCAGTTTTATTGACGCCAGATCTTGTCTTTCTTCTTATGGTAGAAAGGATGAAGACATTTCTTCTTACTGTAGAAAGAGACATTCATATCTTTCAAGGATCCTGAAATAAAACCAGAAATTTTACCTTTTGCATCTCATGAGATTCACGAAACTTGGGTTTAATCGTTTGGATAATCAACAAACATGATGCGTTAAAGTATATATGCTAAATAATATCGAAAGACGTTTAAGGCCATTCGACAGTTGGAAATAGAAAATAAGCGAGCTAAAGCTATTGTCTCAGGACATTCTCGACATTCTTTTCCATTACACAATTTATTTCATGTCCCATTACAGTTCTAGAAAAACAAGTCCATTTCATATCTCACGAAAGTTCTTTAGAAAACAATTCCATGTCATGTCCCAAGAAAGTTCTAGAAATATGTTCTAGTGTAAATGACCTAACTAAGAATCGATCAAGCCGATATCGAGATAGTCCCAGTGTATTGTTTCCAGATAAAACGATAAGATCAAGCGGAAGTCATGTCGCCAATCGAACTCTCATTCTCGTCACGTATCTATCTCTATATTGGAAGAAATCTCACGTTTTTATGGCAACAGCTAATTACCAATTTTATACAACTATAACTATTCAAACACGACCAATATTACAGGGCATTATACTTCTCACTCCAATCAAATACATCCAATTAATTTTTTATTCATGTCGTTTTTAAAATTCTTATTCTGCCGTTTTTTAAGTGTGCAAATGAGAAAGTGTCTACAGAGACCAAAGGTTATTTCGTACACGCGATTTATGTCAACAACTTTTTTGACGATTAATTTGCCTGCAGATTGCATCGTATCATTCTGTTATTTCTGTACTACCAGTTTATTTTTTTTAAAGGACGTAAATGTATTGGGGATCAAATTTACATTGGGCAACTGTCAGAATCGGCTGTTTCTGTTATCCTGAATATAGATTGCAAAGCTCTGGCAGGTCACTAGAAAAAATGCAATACATTACAGTTCTTGCCATTAGTCCGGAAAACTTTTTCTGTCTATATTTGAGATCAGCTTTATTACGTTGCATGTCCAGACTGATGATCTGTTTGGGTATCCCTCTTCACAAAGTTTTTAAAATGGTGAAATGCCCCCTTTCTAAATAGACGTAATCTCCAAAGTTCCAAAATCATATTTATTTAAACTATATTTTTATTCTACTAATTCTTTATTGCCTATAATTAAGTTTGTAATTTGCCACGCCCACTTTCTGCTTTTTCGTAACACGTTATTCTGTGTAAAGGGAAATATCTTTTTATATATCTTATAGTCACGAAACTCAGATATCCTCTCACGAGAGCAACTTAATTGAGATATAATTCACATTGAATAAAATAATGCAATTAAAATGGTTACGCAAACCTAATTTCAAACGTGAGTGATTGAACTATCAGATAACTCACTGCTGTGATCATTGAAGTCGAAATTTTGTATAGTTGCCTTCTAACACAAAGAGATTACATGTACTCAAATCAAGACTTATTTGAAAATCACAGTTCTTTGATCGCATTCTGACACTCTGTCTGTTATCTTTAGAATAACACGTCTGCTTTCAAGCTTATCAAAGTTTTAGATGTTCTGTAACACCAACTATCTGAAGAGCTCATACATCTGATAGTCGGCTGTCAAATCTGAATGTTCATTAACGATCACGCACAATCTGTCAAAATTCTACATATTAAAATGTCAAAATCAGAAATATCAGAAGGCAGAAAGAATGGTTGTCTGGAAATTGACATATACATGCCTGTACGTAAGTGAAACATGGCTATCAATATATCAAATTTACTTTTACTAGAATATAAACAACATATAAAAGATGCACTTACATTCCTTTAGCTTGGAAATAAAATAGTTGGGACACTTTGATAAGGTTAAAGGTGCCTGAATTTCATGTTGAAAACTAGAGTTCTATCAGCTGATTAAGTCAGTATTAAGTTATTGTGTTGAATACATGTATCAATGTTATTCTTCTTAAGTGTTCATCTATGACAGGATAAAACTTAGGTCAATATCTTCACGTGCCTTATTGTTATTATATCATCATGACAAGGCCTTCAAATGTTCATTCTTGCTGGTCTCCATGCTTAAGACAATAAATGTTCTACCATGTGCCCTATTGTTGATCTCTATAAAAAGTTGTTCAAATGTTCTCTCTGGTTGCACTTTATGCTTAACTTCGCTCGAATGCATCTTTAGGTGGCCTGTCCTACTCAAGCCCAGAATGGTCCTATTGTCAGTTACTATTCCAAGGAAATGCGATAAAGGAACGTGGATTGATTTCTTGATGAAAGTTGAAGGTTGTATGATAAAAATCGATGTAATAGATCAAGATAGAGCGGACAAAACACGTCTATTTTCATTAGAGACGCTAATAAGACAGTAATAACCGTGTAAGACTGGATTAGAGTCTACAGTATAGTACGAGGCGACATGAGATTCCAGCAATGAAATGAGAAAGAGGGGGGGGGGGGGGATGAAGGGGGTTTAAAGTAAAAAATGTTATGGTCGTAATGGCAAAAACAGGGGGGTAAAACTGGATTAAAAAAGGGGGGAACAGTTCACAGTTCTATAATGCCATACTTTAAAGACGATTTTCGGTTATTAACAACAGGAATAACAGTCTAAAGTACTACTAAAGTATGCGGTTTGTGCATCACATAATATGGAATAGATCTCGACTACACTGTACATGAGGTTCCATCAGTGATCAGTAGTTGTACAATAACTACTATGGTATAATAACAGCAGAACTCACAGTACTCGACTACATGAAGTTTCGTCAGCGAAGGGAGGCGACGTTCTTCTCTGATGAAACCTCGTGTAGTCGAATACTGTGATTCCTACGAATGATTTATGATTACATCATGGCGGCCAGTCCTCAGTATTATGGTACTTATGAGCGATCACAGTTTCTTGAGCTCCATAATAAGATTATAATAGCCACCTGCCAATCAGATCCTCAATCCAAATAGACACGAAATTTTTTCCGGACTTTTCTTGCAATTCGGGTAATTTCAACCATAAAGACGCTTATTGTTTACAGACGCGGCATAGGTCTATTCATAGCTGCTTGTGTTTCTAAGAGACAGTTTATTTGAAAAGAGTTCTGGTCGAGAAGACGTAGTGTTGTAATATCTACCGAGGGAATCATTATAAACACTTTTATTAGCTTATCGGCTATTAACCACCATCATTGCACTCTGGTTTTATACCTTGGTAAATAAATCGAGTTTTATGCCGTCTGCGTTTCTGTTATTGTGTTTATTGGGGTCGAATCATTGCAGAACCCAGAACAGATTGCGTCTGAAGTCAACTCCCCTTCAAATTTCTAAATAAAGTATATGTACCACCCCTCACAGTGCAGATTCATTAATTCTCTGCCTCAATTGCGTTGTAATTTCAGACCTTAAGCGGATCAGGCTACAACTACAACATTGCACCCGAATAAACTTTTTAGATTTAGTTCAGAACAGCTGTAAACACATTACGCCTGTGTGCAAATTAGATGGTGCTGAACACTTTTACAAATTTCAGATCTCTATTTTAATATGTTTTCCTTGCATGATTTCCTTGGAAAGATCAAGTACACAATTCTCGATCAAGACGGAAGTTTACAAAGCGAGGGTTTCACGCAGCCTGGTCCTACTCAGTTCCTCCAACGGGGTTCGCGTAAATTACAAGCGTGCTACAACCGGAAGTAGTGCGCCACCGAGTCGGAAACCAGCGTTAATGATCTTCAAGATGTAGATCACTTGGTCAAATTATTGGTACTTATTCTTTTCAGAATTTAAGTTGTCCTATTAACCTTCTGATTCCAATTAAACTTTAATCGTCCAGTGAAAACATCTGCGCCCAATTTACTATTTCGACACTTGATTATTTGAAAAACGATTGTGTAAATCTTTGTCTGTAGAAAAAAAGCTGTATGTTTTAACTTTGAACAGACGTTTCACTCCTCCGCAAAAGAAGAGTTCCAGCTGAAATTTAGCAATAACATAAAGTTAATTGCGTCCTGCACCAAACTTCGCTTCCTGTTAAAATGTGGTACGCCATTAAATTGCCATAATCGTTAAAGTAAACTCCATTTTGTTATAAGTTGTGTTATTGTAAATATATATCTGGCTTATTAAAATCAATTCTTTCTGTTTACACTTACTTTTATTTTAACCCAAATTCACGGTAATTTGTTTATCTTTTCAGTGAATTTCGACCATTTCCAGATCTTAAGAGCAATTGGTAAAGGAAGTTTTGGCAAGGTAAATCAGTTTTATTCCGTTTACATGTTCAGTGTTTACCATTTGTAACATTTAAAGGAAATTTGAATTTCAAATGTTAAACTGTCTGGCGCTGATTGAATAATCTCGATTTAAAACAGAATGTGATTGTTTACATGGAATAGAGCCAGAGGGAATAATTTGGTAAAGAATTCGTCCTGAAAGGCGAGAACCAGGCCGACTTTCTGATTCACCAGAGATTTTGAATGGAAATGGAATTTAAACACCCTCCATGATACCAAATTCCGATTTCGATCAACTTTCAATTTTATTGCTTTCCAATGCATGATTTTGAAGGGCAATTCCTGCCCTAGTAAGTGTCTGAGGGGTGAATGCGGGCAACAGCGACTTGTGCCAACTTCATACACCAAAGTACTTCTGATTACGAGCCTTTTGAACCTGCCACCTTTCTTTGAGACTGTGACGTCATTTAACGCTTAGGTATTAGCACAGAACCACAGACGTGAACAATGGAATGGAGTGTTGATAATCGATGCCATCAGTGTCCCTGAAACTCGATATATCACTAAAATCAATTTTAAGTCTTGTTGTATTATACAATTCGGTAACTTCAGTTATTAAAATCTGGATTTGATCTCAGTTAAGTTTTCGAAACTCCAGATTGATTTGTATTGGGGTATTTGTTAAAATGTTTGTGAGAATATGGAAAAAGATTGTAATGTATCTGGCGTTATATCAGTGAATTTGCTATTAATTTTACCCCGAGAGACATATAATGGATATGGAAACAGAAATAAAGTAATTTAAACAGAAAATTTCAAGATAAATATACGATAATCTGGAACACTAGACATAATAATACACTCCAATATAAAGTTATTATCAATCTTTTACAAATCACCTACATTTCATTCCACAGACAGTCTTAAAGGTATTGTCAAGTTTCTTAACTTTACGAGTTTCAGGGACACTGATGGCATCGATTAGCACCATTCCATTCCATTGTTCACGTCTGTGGTTCTGTGATAATACCTAAGCGTTAAATGACGTCACAATCTCAAAGAAAGGTGGCAGTTGGTGATGAGAACACATTCTCATGAAAGCACTGGCCTGGGTCACGAAATAAAGATTTATATCAAAGTTACATGTTAAGATAATTAGAAATGAATAATCTTTTGAGTACCTTTTCTCTTGGTAAAATTTCTGAAAACATAAGAATCAGCTTTCTTCCTGAAGATAAATCCTGTAATGTAAAATCTTTTAAGAAATTACTCACGCGCACCTATAAGACGTGGAATTGCAGGAACAACAGACGTTTGGCTGAAAAGTAAAATGGTGCACATCGATGCAAACAGTGCACCCGATACACAAGAATATTTTAGGAAAAATCTTTATTAGTTTAGCAGCAGTGACAAAATATTTCAATATATAGAAACTACTTGATAATAAAATACAAGAGACAAAAACTTTATTGGAGTTTTTTTGAATTAAAAGGCAAAAAACTCCTTAGGAAATGGTGATTTGTCGCTTTACCAATTTAGACAATTTCCTTTGGCTTAACGGAGGGTTGAATTTACGCGTAATGTGCACAAAAAACTGTTAAAAGCAATTTAAACAATTTCTGGCAAGGAGAATGTAACGGTTTCTTTTCTATAGACAAAGTAGTGATTTAAATGTAATTTGTGATTTTGTCGATTTTAAATAGCAAACTCAACCAGCCTTGGGACTTGTAATTTAAGCAGATTTTAACACTAATGTGGTTTTTTGTTGATGTTGGAAACGATGACCTTTAGGTTTAAATAAGTTTGTTATGCAATAGACTTAATGGAATTCAAAAAAACGTTTTCTACAAAGCCTTAATATGTCTATTCAGTGTATTAGGACGTAGTTATTTTGTTCATTTACAGCACTGTTCCGACTAACCTCTGTGGTTCTTGAAATACAAGATAACCTTGACCAGAATATGGCATCAATGTTCGTAAATATCATTGGTTTGGAAGGGCTTTATATGTTTTAGATACAAATATATAGCAGAAAACCGTTTAATATGATCACGAAATGAAGCACCAAATCCACTAGTTAATGTGGACTCTGATATTTATACCAGGTATATGCCATGCTTCTCGGGCCACTCCAGTTAGTTCCATAAGCGTAGTATTTCTCATTGTAAAATTTTCCCTCGTGTCCCAGACCTATTGTGAGATACTGCAGGGACCAGGATTTCAGACAGATTTGAAGTGGTGAAGCTTACGTATAACTTATATCGGAATTTTTTCACCGTTCTTTCATCATGTAAACCTTCGAGAACTTCAGATGTGAAAATTAGCTCTTAGCAGTTAAATGGCACTCTGGGTTCCGCCATCTCCCAACAAACTAAACGCCCTTTACCAATATGTTATATTATTGACCGTTATCATAGTACACAGTTAATGAGGAATATGGTAATTTACTATTCACCATAATGGAGGTCTAATGAAGTCAGCCTAATTAATCACTAATTACAAATAGCATTGACATTTCTCTGATATCCTGCGGAAAGGTTGACAAGTAAAACTTATCGATTCAATGATTGCCGACAAATGATAAGAAATTGTACGCCCTTCGGCAAATAAATGGACAAATGAGCTGAAGTAAAGTGTGTATTAAAAGTGCTCAAAAGGGAAATAGCGGATCAGTGCAAATGGGGCAGGCCAAATAGTTTTGAAAGTAGAAGAAGCATGGAAGACATGATGTTTACTATATCCCCCAGCACGACGATAACACGTGCATGGTGTTTATTATAACTATACACCCCTCTACCCCAAAAGGTGTTATATCGGTAAGCATACCACATCGTTTTCAGAGAGCATTGAACCGCAAAGGTCATTTTATATATTATGTCTTTACCACCCACAACCCTCAAGGTGAATGTACTGGACTTACTTTACCAGTCATTAGCTGACTTTCATCTGGAATTAGTGAATCTTGTTTAATTCTACTTAAGTGTCCTTATATATTACTTCAGTTCTAAATAGTATGATTAAGGGATTATACGTTTAGATGAGGGATTATATACTAGAATATGGATGGTTTGTTGGTTTGTAGATGACAAATTAACGTCCGTTTCTAACAGAAGTTGATATCGCAGACTAGGTAGTTGTTAGTAGATACCAACTTAACTTCCGCTTCCGGAAGATGCTGCTTTCACAGACTATGTAGCTCTTGATAAAGACAAGTAAACGTCCGTTTCTAACAAAAGCTGATATCGCAGACTAGGTAGTTGTTAATAGATACCAAGTTAACTTCCGTTTTCGGAAGATGTTGCTATCACAGACAATGTATCTCTAGGTAAAGACAAGTTTACATCCACTCCCAACAGATGGTAAGTTGACGCCAGCTTACAGCAGAAGCTGATATCGCAGACTAGGTAGATATAGGCATGAGGTTTAGTAAGGTTTCAATGTCAGAGAGTCAGTTGACATTAAAAATTGCTGTATAAAGATCTAACAGGGCCTTTTTAGACAAAAGACTAAATGTCAGATATCGAACTTACGAAAAGTATTGCGGGCAACTAACTTTTATTGGCTTTAAAAGCGGATATGTTGAGGATTTTTAACTCTGCAAAGACAATGAACACACTGTTTTGCTTGCATTTTAAAATGCATCTGTAATTGTCGCCAATTTAGCCCAAAATGCGAGATATGGGGAGATCCAAAACGTTCAAATATTGTAACCTACGTTTTCACAAGGTCTAAATGGAAATAAAAATGTTAAAGTATCTGAATTCTTTTGAATTTCAACCCTTTATAACACAAGAGTTTTGTTTACTGCTTCTCGATGTAAATACACAGCCAGTATTCTGCCTCTATTAGGAAACTCGTTGTCTAATAAACAACAGTCGAGCATGTCAACATCTCTTTCTTCAAACATCATCCATCATTTAAAAACTTCTATCTTAGACACATACAACATTTGATTGGCATAAAGCTTCGTTATATTCTAATTAAAATATAGAATTTCATGCAATTTGTAAAAAATACCAGACATTACGTGCAATAACAAAAGCTGTTTATGGAGCTACTTTTCTGTGTTTCGTGACTGGAGAGTTCAACTTCCTCCATGATCAGTTGATATCTTATATCAGTTCAAAATGTCATCTTCTGTCTTGCTCTGGTTTCTTTTGTAACGATCACATCTTTGAAACATGACACAATAATAGCTACCTTGCGTTCAGACTGTATTATCTACGTCTGTGTCGCCTTGCTTTGAATCGAACTTAGGGTTGCTTACCTAGAGATCCAGGGTTTAATCTTGACATAGGTCGAGATAAACCTTTGAATTTTGGAACCCGGTATCCCTCTGTTACTGTCAGTTTGGAGGGGTTGAGATGGAGAAAGTTTCTAGTTGCAATGCCAGCTGCAGGACTTTATATTGGGGATGGGAATGGGGGGTGGGGGGCACCTCCAAATTTTTTTTGAATGAATTTAAAAGCGGCCCCGGAAATCATTTGAAAATAAAGTGCATTAAATGCAATTTGAAAGAGTGCTCTTTTTTCCACAATATAGGGGCTTTTGGAGGTGGGGATGTTACAAACTTACAGAAATAATCATACACTTGTTCGGCTTAGAAATCTTTTTGTACCAAAATTCAATTCATTAAAAACATAAGCTTGCAGTATTATTAGCATCACAATAGGGTCGGTAGACGAGCTGAATCAAAACATCCAAAGCCTTCATACGATTAGAATTTCCAGTCTACACAAGCTGATATCTCTAATCTCCAAATAGAAAGAACGAAAACCATATTTCAATAAGTAGATTTCATTGTCAGGGGACTCTTCGTTTCAGACTAGCTTGTTCCATTTTCAATATTCTTTGTGATAAGTAAGGACAAACCAGTCTCTTATCTATCATAATTATTCACTTAGAAGCACGAAGAGTTATTCATGACATGTCTGTTTTTATTTGAAAGATTACCAAAGGACCAAATAGAAACCTGGTCTCAATGGTTGTACAACGATAATACGCTTGATCTGATGTAGC